GGTCATCCCTGAGGGTGCTGTCACTTTGGTATTCAAGTCCTTGCGGGAGGAAAGCGTGAACAAAGGCTGTGGAGGAAGCAAACTTCTCTAAGTTGACTCATCTCTGAAAACTGGCTGGTTTTCTCCAGAATTTCAGTGGTGAAAGTCTTGCTTGTCAAATTCCTACTGTCCAAGGCATGAAATCGACATATGAGTGCTCAGCAGAGAGCCTGAGGGACAGAGCAGCATTTGCAGCAACACTGGGGCCAGCCCTCCTGTGTCCTGCAGCCCTTGCTGCTGGGTCCAGCATGCTCAGCTGCTGTGACTCTTGCAACAGCCTTAAAATAGAGACCCAGGCCATGCCTGTGAAAAACCTGTACTAGTCTAAAAGAACTGTGCAGGGCCAAATTCTGTTGTTGGTGAATACTGTGGCATCAAACTGAATCAGGGGAAGTGGAATCTGTTGTTTGTAAGGCAGAACACAGTTTTGCGATGGGCTTAGACAACATGTGCAGAACAGTCACCTTGCGCCAGAATGCATTTCAGCTCAAGTGTTAAGGTCCCAGGCAAAGACACTCTTGAAGTGGCTTAGTGAGACTACCAGTAGGGATTGCTGCCTGACAGTGGTACTTCTCCTTCAGTCTCATTTTGGTTGTCAAAGGTTTTAAGCAATAAAAGCATTAATAGTAAATTTTGTGGAGATGAAAATGTCCCTTTGTATGAGCTTCATATAAGGCTTTCTATGAACTCCAGGGTGTAGGAATGTGCCTGGAGAAGGAGAGGTCAGGCTTTTTTTTAATGTGGTTGTTTTGTTTTGTTTTGTTTTGTTTCGTTTTGGTTTGTTTTTAAATCACAGGAGAGAGGTCAGGCTTTTTTTTTAATGTGGTTGTTTTGTTTTGTTTTGTTTTTAAATCACAGCAAAAATCCCTTAACTTACAAAGGTGACTCTCTTCCTTCTGTTGAAGTGAAACGTAAGACAAGTTGTACTTCAACCTCTGCCTTTTTTTGTCAGCAGATACAAAGATCTGAGGGCAATCTATTGCATAAGAATATCTAATGATGTTCTCTCTTACCTTCCATGCTTGCAATAAGTTGACCATGTGCTTTCCAGGCCCTTGCACTGGAGTTACTCCAGGGAGTGATCTTGCTTGGATAAGTGTCTTCAACCTCTTGTGCATTGCAGAGTTGCTCGGCCACAGCTTTGCACCCAAAAAGCTTTTCCCCTTGTTAGTTTAAGATTCACTGACTGTTTTAAAACTTTCAGTAGCTTTTGCTAGGATTGCATGAAGTTGCTTCATTCTTCCTATAGGCATGGGTACCCCAAAATGAAAGCTTATGCTGTGCTTCCACCCTATGGTGATGTGCCATAATAGGTGGCCTGCAGCCCCTTGAACGACCACCTGCCATGGCACTGGGTTGTCAGCTGTGTGTGGAAAGTAATAAAAATAAATGCATTTGGGGTTTGTGCACCATCAGCTCAGCTCTCGGGCAGCTAGTTTGAAAACTGTATTATCAAGAGCAATCTTTCACCTCCTAAAATTACTTACGTTGTTATATCAAGTACTTATAAACAAATAAAGTATTTTATTAGCTTCTTTATGCTGTGTCTGCAGTAAGAAATTACAGGGTTTACATTTCTGATGCTGATAAAGTCTTTCAGGAGGTTACTTCATGCAGCTATAAATCAAAGGTTACCTTTCAGATTGCCTAGGAAAACTATATAATAATTAAGATGTGGAGCTCTGCTTCTCTAAGGTTAAGTTCCTTGGTGGTTCATTTCTTGTCATCTTAACATGCTAACGATTTAACTGCACCTTTCTGTCATCATCTCTGGAAGCATATCTGATACCAAATGACCAGCCAGCCAGTCAGTTCATTAAGCTTAGAGAAGCTGAGGTGGAGGAACAAACTGGACTTAAATCATAGGGTTTTACTGAAAAATCAGTATTCATCCATAATACCAAAGCTCCAAAGCACAAGTTGGCTATATCTATGTTAAACAAAAAAAAGGGGAGAGGGGAATTCTCTTAGATTCTTCTCTCATCTAATTTAAAAAAAATATAAAATATATAATAAGCTACTGTGCTTCTATTTATAAAGCTCCAAAAACTGCAGGTAGGGAGCTCTCGCAAATGTGAATGAATCAGCACTATATTCTTGTAGCACTTTAAACAGCTTAAATTGCTTAATAGCCAGTTTATTTTAAGAGAGAGAGATATCTGCTTCTGAACTGTATTCTCCCAGTTGCAGCTGTGTTGAGTACAATCTTTCAGCAATTTTCTGGGCTGTCCTAGCAGGTTTGTGCTGCCTTAGGGGCAGGTGGAGATGAGCAGCAGGAGGCCATTGGTACCTGGGACATGCTCCTCTGGCCGTGAGTGTGAGTTCAGCCACTTGCTGAAGCCACTTGTGTGAGTGGAAGAATAGACATATGTACACAGAAAAGAAATCTGCAGATACTGTGTGACTAAGAGAAATGCTGTTGTCCTGCATCTGCTAGCTGTCATATTTTTTCCCTCCACTCCTGTTACAGGTGCTGAACGTTTTCCAGAAGGACTTGCTGAAATTTGCCAGATTTAGTGTAACCTTCCACTTCTGTTTTCAGTAACTCCGAACTCATTTTCTTCTCTTCTGCTTTGCCTTTACTCAGCAGATCTAGGTGATTGTCACTTTCTGCATCTATTTTGGTGTTGCTTTACCTAAAAGAATGTAACAAATGACCTGCTGTGAGCCATAACTGCAGCCTGGCCTGTCTCCTTTTACCATCTTCTTTCTTTGGTACTGGTATGAGCATTGTTTGATCCTCCCTGGAGCACAGTGCTTGTATACAGCGTCTCTTCCCCTTGAGTGATTAGCACCTTGTTCATAGGGTTGAACTCAACTTCCTTTTCTGTTCTAGACCACAGTAAAAATCACGTGCATCTGAGTTGTGCTAACCATTGTCTTCATCTTGTATTAAATCTTTTCTAGACCTTCCTTTTGGCTGGGGAATGAGACCTTGAAAGTGCCTGTAGCACTCTTTGCCTTGAATAGAAGACGACTGTGTGACCGCCTGAGACAGAATAAGGATGTCCAGAAGAATTCAGTTGTTCTGCTGCAGGGTGGAGAAGGAACCCAGAGATACTGTACTGATACTGGTATTGTGTTTCGTCAGGTAAGAGCTGAATCAAACTGCAAATCAAATTAAGAAACACTCTCAGCTGCATGATTTTTTTAAACCATTTTTAATTCTTTTCCCTTTCTCTGTCATGAGCGCATTGCCTTGCTTCACTTAAATTGGTTTCTTTATAACATTGCTTCTTCAGCTTTGAGTTACTCTCTTTCATTGCTTTAGTATACAGGCTTATCACCTGGTTTAAAGGGCATAAACATGTTTAAGGCCCTATTGCCTATCAGTGTTTAACATAATATTAAAGACAGCAATGGAATTTTTTTTTCAAGCTTGTCTGTGACCCAAAAAATAACCTGTCCATAGTGAAACACATTACAGTAGACTTAAGCTGAATTAATTACTAGAAAAACATATTTCAAGCTTTTGTAAATAGTGTGTTCCACAAAGCAGGATGTATCTTAGAATTTACAACTGGTGTCTTCTCAAATTAGACTCTTCCTTAAGTACTCACGTTCTGTCACAAGTAAGGCTTAATAACTTGTTAATGTCATCTGAATGCATTCTTAGTCATTGGGGAAGCTGGTGTAACAGAACTCTAATTATGCATACTCCATAACCAGAGTATCAGAGCATATGTCTGTCTTTGCCACATTCGTCTCTGTATTGTTAGGTGTTGTTCACTTGTGTGTTCTTAAATTAACTCTTGACTAAAGATTGGTCCTAGTGCAGCTTTCTCTTCTCTGGAGGAGGTTTGTTCTTCACTTCAGCACTCAGCCATTACAGCCCAATGAATCTGCACTCTGCTTTTGCCTTGTCTCATGTGACACAACTGTTTCTTTCTGATACTACATTCCCTAATTCTAGATTGGAAGAATGTATTTTATTGTGTGGTGTATGTGTATTGTGCTGAGTTTACCTGTTGATTCCTTATGGTAGTTTTTTAATCTGTGATCCTTTCTGGATGCCAAAAGAGAGATTTGTATTATTGTAACCTAAAACTAATCAGTCTGGAAAGCTTTAGACGTAAACCACTTCCCCCTCTCCAAAAGCAAGAGTGATCTCTTTCAGCTACGTGGAAGTAGGACTCAGTATGTACTACAGTCTGTTTTTTTGAGCTGGTAGAAGTGAGGATTTTCTTTTAAGACTATATTTTGTCTTAACATAGGAATCTTACTTTCACTGGACTTTTGGAGTAACTGAAGAAGGCTGCTTTGGAGCAGTAGATGTTGATACTGGAAGATCCATGCTTTTTGTTCCACAACTCCCTGAAAGCTATGCAGTTTGGATGGGAAAGTAAGACTTTTCTTTTAACTGTGTTCCTGTGTATCTGAGTACTTCATATAATGTAACTAACTGTCTGTAGAGCTGGAATGCTTCCTCATTTTAATCAGATTCCACCAAATCATTCAGTGTGAATTGTAGTGTTGTGCATATAGAGTGATGCAAAACCTGATTAGTTGGTATTGAGCATATGGTATCAAATGATGCACTACCACTTAGCAGAAGATACTTTTAGAAATGGAACCCATGGACCTCATGGTGTCCATGAAAGTAAGCTGAACCACAAAGAAGACTAGAAGTCTTGTGTGATGACTTCACCATTTTGCAGCAGCCTTAGCTGTTGAGGCTTTTTGAATGGCGGGAGGTAGTTTAGCCTCTTTGGTATTCTTTTTGGTATGAACTGACAGACTGGGGAATGTGATTTTAATTCCTTTCTGTAGGTATGCCATAAACATCTCTCTTTCTATCCACACTGGTAGTAAATACTGCTCACTGCCGTAGTAGTGAAGGGGTTGATTTATTTATGTGTTCATGTCTTTTCTCGGTCTTAATTGTATTTATACCATCTAACAAACTATAAACTTCTTTATTGTCTACAACAGAACATTGGATTACTTCTAATTTAATATTTTGAGCTTAGGTTGCTTTGCTTCTAATTGAAGCTATCACTTATATTTTAATGCTAATTTTGGGAAAAGAAAGCAATCGCAACCAATCCCATATGCTGATCTGTGCCAGACCATATGGTAGGGCATGGCTGCTGTCTTCCCAGAGAGTTTATATGAATATCACTGTCTTAGACCTGCCTGGGAACTGAAATTGTTTGTGATAGCATAAAAATGTCTGAATAGCTGTCTGGAATATTTCAGCAGAGTGCTGCACCTGTCTGGGAGGATGGTTTCTGTTTAACCCCTACATATGCTCTCTGAAGTCTGTTCCCTAGTGGTGCTTGTTCCCATTTACAGACAAAGCTTTTTCCTTCCCCTAAGTTCTCTTTTGCTAGTTCAGATCAGCTGTTTCATATCCACACTGTGCCTAATATGAAAAGGCATAAAAATACTACTGCAATTCTACCATGCTGTTTTGCATTTTCAAACAAAATACTGTGGTGCTTATAAATGGTGGCCTTTTATTTGTTTGTGTACCCCTCATTATTCAATAATTTGCAGAATTACGAGTGTGGTTAAAAGTGGTTTATTGTCACTGTGTCTTCTTGCAGAGTATAACAAATTGTCTTTATCACAGCATCTTTGTTTTCTAAACTCTCCTTCATACCCTTCCTGAATTGCTCTGTTTGAATCTTTGTTTTCTCTTCTGTCAGCTGTGGTCATGTACTTTTTTCTGATTGTCAGAAGGAGGATGGATGAGTAACTCATTTGTGAGTCAGTAGCAGTTCTGCTTCATAAGTTGGTTGGCAGGGGGTACTGCACACAGCTAGGAATTCTGTTCCTTCCCAGAAGACTCAATTTTAAGTCAAAATTAGCACTGAAAGAAAAAAAGTAAGTTTGCTTTCCATTCGCTGCTGTTTATCTGCTATAGTTTTTCTTGGAAGTATTTTTTTCTGTGCATGTGGAAGGCACTATCTACCCACTGAAGAAACATTCATTTAGCATCAATGAAGCACAAATCAATTCAATGTCTTGCTTGATATTTGCAAGATTGGTATATTAGAGGTCTGCAGCAGGTCTTCTAGCTCATAGCACAGGGTTGCTTTGCCTGATGTTTATATTGCTTTCTATTGAAGGCAGATGTGGGAATCTGCTTTGTGAATTAGGCAAAATGCATAGATTCTCTTAAAAATCAATACAGAAGGTTCTTTACTACTACTTTACTACCACTGTATTAGTAAATGCATTGTTTGATGTACCGTTGTGCTTTCACTTCTGAGGGACACGTATTTGAGTTGTTTTCAAAACATAGCTTAGGAAGTATGGAGCCAGAAGGATTAACCTTTTTGCCTTCAAGTAATGCAGAAGTTGGGCTTCTTGGCTTCTTTCAAATTGCAGTCTTGGTTTGACCTAAACCAATGGAGGTCTGAGAACATTTGCTTGGAGATGAGCAGACTATTAGGTTATAAATGAGACCATGAACACTGTAATTATTTCAGTCTTACCAACTGCACTTGTCTTTATGAGCAGTTTTGCATGCTGAGCTGGGACCTGGGGACCCTGCAGAACAGGTGAGCACAGAGATGATGAATGCACCACCCTGGGCTGTGTCTGCCAGGGACCCGGTGCCACGACGTACCTGTGCTCAGCGTGACTACCGCGTCTTTGGGAGGTTACTCGTCTTGTAGGACTTCTCCCTGAATGTGTGTGTGCTGAAGAATTGTAAATATCTGCAAGGCTGTCCTTCAAATCCTTAAAGCCAAAATAACCTCTGCAGGTTTAGAAGGGAGGAGAGATTTAGTTTAACTCGCACACTATGAGAGTTCCTCTGAAAACCCACAACCTCTTAAGGTGGCAATTGCCAAATTGTTATGAGGGTAATTGTAGGATGGGGTGGTCCTGCTTTGGGCACTTGGGAAGGGATTGCAGCAACAGTTGCTCTGTTTTTAAATTAGGAGTGTGGGCATTTGTCCAAATATTGAGCTAGCTTATTTTTTAGTGGTTGGCTGGGAAAATCTTTAGAACTAAGAGAGCTGCTTTGCCTGTCTCTCGACCTGTACCTCTGCCTCCCACCCCTCCTATTGTTTGTAAGGCAGAACCAAAGACTCTCGCGGGATGGCTTAATGGTCAGGCTTTGTGCTCCTGAAGCATTTTTCTGTTTTCAGAGGAAGAGTTTAAGAAATGAATCTGGTAATGTGAGACTGTAAAGGCTTCAGAAGTGTAACTGTGTTAAAAGACCCTCTTTCTTGACGTGGTCTTACACAGCCAAGCCCGTGGTGCAGAGCTGTTAGCAATCATTTCTATTCCTAGGAAGCATTAAGTTAGTATGACTGCATGTCTTGCACAGAGACTTCAATTTCACTAATTAATGCCGCACCTGCCATTTACCTCCTTAATTATAAGTGACAGAACCAGTCAGTGTGCTGATTAAAGATATTTTATAAAGTAAAACATACTGTACAGCAGCTGCTTTGTGTGGAGCGGATGCCAAAGTAACTTAATTGCCTTACCATGTAAAGAATGTTTTTAATGGGAAACAAAAATATTTAACGCTTTCATGCTCTAACTTTAGAAATACATATTCAATGGGACAGAGCAATATTTATATGCAATTTCCTGTGTTTTCTCTGAAGCCCTGCTGGCTGATTGGTAAGTGTGACAACATTAATCTAGCATTGCATCCACTGTAAGTAATGTTTTTCTATGAATTTGGTTGGAAGCTATCTGTATTTGCAGAGTTGAACCTTGGTGTGGCACTTGGAGCTGTAATAAAGCACAATGAAATGCTTTGCGAATGTTAATAATTTCTCAGTGACCTGATGAGGTAGATGTAGAACATTGTCATTGATTTCTAAGTAGGTTACAACCAAAGTCAGCCTTTGGTTTGGCGGGGATTGACTGACTTCAGAAAAGCTGAGAAGTTTTACTGCCTTTGGAAGAAAGTTCAGAAGAATGTAATTTGTTGGCTTTTTTTCCCCCAGCTGCTCTTGTAAGTAAAGAGCTCTTCAGGCAATTAGGCTTCTATCGTTTTTTTTTTGCCTGTATAGTCTATAGATGACTATGAAAACTAGAAGCTAAGAAATCATTTTCTTGATCCCTTTTTCTTACTGCGGATCAGTGACATTTTGTGGCATTTGTATTTTGAATAATGTGAGTATTAAATTGTGTACATCATGGTGTGTTTATCTGACTATATCACGATGACTGAGTCTGGTGCATTAATTAGTCTTGGGCTTGGCTACAAGAAGACAAGGTCTGTAGTAAGCCCATTGTATTCAAGCTGAAATTGGAGACAGCTCATTCAAAAGGGAATGAAGTATATGTGGGTGCTGTAGGGAACAAATTGTAAATCACCTTAATTAATCTTCTTGATCTAGATTTTCTGGGAATGAAGGACATTTTCTAGGTGAATTTTACTGATATGGCACATACAGGTCCTGTTCTCTGTAGCGTGCTCTGGAGCTGTGTATTCAGGTTGTGAACTGAAGAAGGGTCTTTGCTTTTACCTTCTGATCTGGCATATCATTCCCTGGTATTTTTCTTGTGTGTTTTTTTTTGTTTTTTTTTTCTCTGAAATTAAATATATTTAGTGTTTTCTTTTTCTATGTCTGTTGATTTGATCTCCTGCCATTTGTTGCTTCCCCCCACCCACTGATTCTTTATTTTTCTGTTTAAAAAAAAAAAAATCAGTTTTTAATCACTTTAGGTCATCTTATTACTGTTTTGTACCAACTGGCAATTGCAATTCATCTGCAGTTTAACCCCTGCACATGCCATCTGTGGATCACATGAACATATTCAGATAATCAGTCCTGCTTCTGTTTCAGAATAGCATCAGAACTAATTTCAGTCTTTGCAGTATCCTACTAATCAAGACTTGCAGTCCATTGCTGTTTGTCATTTTAACTTCTGAGAACATCAGTCTAAATTGATACAGCCCTTTTTAGTGTGGCAATTTGGGGGTTTCCCAGCCTTTGAAGAGCTCACCTTTTTATCTATTTATTTATTTTTATTTTCTGTTATAGGCTTTTCACTTTTTTTATGTGACTAGTCATTGGTCTTCGGGTGACATAGTGTTCCTGTCTGAGCCAATTTGAGTTTATTTGGGAGAGTAACAGTCTTGAGAGAGATTTTTATCAAATATGTTACTGTTACTCAGATAGTACATCTGTTGTTTTACCCTTCTGATCCTTTCAAATAATGCTGGTTGCTTTCGATTCGTGAGACTTACTTGTGGAATTCCCCATGCTGCTTATTTTCAGTGATTGCATTTCTCTCCGTAGTACAGTGATTCTATTTCTTGTCTCCCATTCATTTATTATGGTATTTTCTGTGGATAAAAATTACTTCTACAGAATAATTAGTATCTGGATTGCTCTTGCCACTTTACTGATGATTGTTTTT